ATTTATGACACAGACGAACAAATTGGCCCGAAGGCATGTGCAGAAAGGGACAGAAGCACATAGATGAATCATGCAGACTGACTTTGTTAGCTGTTTTAATGCCAAAGTAAACAGAATGGCACTTTTTTGTTCTAGTGTTGGTAGAAGAAAATCTTTGAGGGGGTGATGACTGACAGTTCTGGGTCACTGTGGCATGTCCCCAATAGGCAGTGTGATTGTTTGAGTTGGCACAAATTAAAACCCGAGTAGTGACACAAAGTCCTCCTGTCGTTCTATGACTGAAATATGTTTCTTCAGACTGTTACCGGTAATTAAACAAAATTACTTGACTTCTAATCTGGGGGGCAAAAAAGCAGTAAGGGCTATTTAAGTTTGGGTTTAGAGGGTTTAACTTGAAAACTCTTAACAAACTTTAAAAAAAAAGAACAGAGCTAAAATGTTGTGATGCAGATGCACACTCAGATTAATGTCCAATTACATTGACTCAAGTGTAATTAAACAATACATTCATCATTGCAATACAGTAAGTGTCTCATGCTGTTTTGGCAACTGTAGCTTAAAAACTGTAAACCTAAAAGAGCTACAGGATATTTGCATGTTTTAATTTAGATTTTTAAAAGTTATTTTAATTTTAATATAATTTGAAAAATCTACATTAGCTATAAATAATGGTCAGAAAAATCTTTTTTTCTTAAATGAAGCAGATCTTTAGACAAAATATCAAAATGCATTTGAAAAACGTTTGCCCATGATGAGTCTCATATATTATACTTTAAAGACTATGGAAATGTGTGTATCAAAATATGATATAGTAATCTTTATAGGGTTAATATGTTACGCCTATGTAAAAGAGGAAATAGAAAGTAGGCTACGATACGGACGGCATGTAGCTTCAGTCAAGTACAATGTTGTATTGCATTTACCATGAACGGCATAATAACCAAAGACAGTAAAAGAAATGGACAGAGTGACCTCATTGATTTATCACAGCAATACAAAGCCATAGGCAATAAACCTAAAAACAGAACAATTTTCCTTTCATTAAAAAAAGTAAGTGAATAAAAAGGGATACATAATGTTAATACAGTTTAATCTTGCAGATTACATGAAGCAGCATGAATATTGTCCTAAAACGTACCAGTCCAAAAGGTGAAAGCTCATCTAGAGGCAACACTGAAAGCATTGACCTCGGTTTGTTGGTCTTAGTTTAGATACAGATCTTTGCGGTGTTGGGCCTGACATGGATCCGTCCTGGTCCAAGATTCCAGAGGGTTAGTAAGACTTTTTAAATGTGTGGCCAGACTAAATTCTGATTTTAGCCCTAAGATGAAATATGGGGACAACTTACATGTCTGTATGTTTAACCAGCTACTTTCTTTTTATACTGTAACTATGTCAACACAGAGTTTAAGAAGCCTACTGATAGGTCTGCATCAGTAATTGGGTTTAGGCTGGTATTTCACTGCCATTAGCATGCTTTCTGATTAGCACAATTAATTGCTGCTTTATAGGAAACACAGAGAGAATATGACTTGCAGACACCAGCCTTCAAATTGAAACCGGGTCAAAGTTCACTGAATTACAGGGTAGTGTGCATGCCTTAGGTTAAAAAAGAAATTTTGATGTTCAGCTCAACTCTGGAACCGCTTTGGAGGCCCTTGTGCTCCTTCGACACATACTGTACACACTTGTGTTGTCTATTTTCAGTTCCCGAGTGTATAGCAGACAGCATTGATACTTGAAGCACCCAACAGAACCATTTCATCCCAAATGGATTCAGACACAGTAGTGGGAGCGGAGACCCAATCATAGGCTGTAATTTCAGCGCATTTATCTCATTTCCTGTGCGCTTTGTCTTTCTCTGCAATAAAGGGGTAAGTAATTGGAATAGACTCCAGATAATGGGGAATTCTGACCCTGCCATTCCTCTGCAAGACTGCAAGGATGCTTTGTGGCGACAAGGGAGAAAACTTGGGCAGTTTGCGGTTTCTTACACAAGCACTTGGAGTCAGTAAATGGGGTAATATAGTATTCTGTACTCTGCTTGTGTACTGATTGCATTTGAAATAGTGCTGGATCAGGCCAAGCATGGTTTCATCTTGTGAAATCAGACCATATGAGATTAATGTTCAATCAGACACAGATAATACAAAAATACATCACTTTTGTGCAATTTGTTTTTCAGCAATTACAGTTTACAAATGTACAAGTTTGTTTTGAGGTATCAAGAGACAAAAAGGCCAAACGATATGGAGGACTCATACAAAATAATGTGTGCAAATCGTGAGCTTAGAATTATAAGGTTCTATCTCCACTTTTGGTCAAAATTGAGTTTTTGACATAATCTGATCCATTAGGTGTTTATTAATGCCTGTGTGGTGTTATTTTTGTAAAAAAAAAGATTAATAGATAAAGCTATAATAGAAGATTATACTACATAACAGTTTTGCCAGCTGGGATGTAAAAACTTTGATGCAATATCTCAGAACTAACCGAAACGGAGATAGAACCTTATAATTCTAAGCTCACGAAATGGCCCAGTTTTTCCAGATTTTTCTCAAAGATATCACCAATAGAAAGGGAGAATCACCAGTGCAAAAAATCTTCTTGAGAACAAATTTATTAGAGGTGCAAAACTTGACTAACGTTTCGATGTAAAACTACATCTTCATCAGAGTCCTCTCTAAGTCTGCTGGAGATGGAACATGAGAATCGGAGTTGATGGTGGCATCATTCTTTTGATGACTCACACAGTGTGGGAAAATTTGCACAGCCCATTACACACGCAACTGTTATCCCAACCAGAGTATTTTTTTGTCTTCATTAGATCGTTTTTTACTGCAATGAAAATAAACAAACGCATTTCCGACTTTAACTGTGGTTTGGGAAATTTAGGATTTTGTGCAGCTACAGTATTTCCAATCAGTTCCCCTCTTTCCAAACAGCAATCAAACTCTTAGAAAATATTTCTGAAGTTCTTATCATTCATTTGAGATGACAAGCTGGGTCATAAAGCATTATCTCTGACATAAATTCTGCCTTTTAAAAACCCACTTTTCCTTCTAAATTTCCTGAGGATCAGAGATCCAGTTTCAGGTTTGTTATTGTGTGAATGAGGCCATCTCTCCTTATATAGTCCATAAACATCACATTCAGACGCAAACATTTCTTCCCACTGTATTTAATGAGAGTTGAGTTTGGAAATGGTATGGTTGATGGAAAACACAACCTTGCAATTACAGTGAACAGGCTGAAATGAGTGTAACCTAACCTTTGCTGTATGTCATAGTGTTGTGCGTATAGGCCAGGGTGTCTACATCCAAGAATGAGATGTGGATTTTAGACTTTTTTTGTTTGCGTGTATGTCATTTTTAAGCATAAAGTGAAATCAGACTTTACGAAAAAAACATAATTACTTAAAAGTTTCTGCTGTTATTGGTTGTCTCTAAACAAGCTGTCAGTGTGCTGCTGTCGTTTTTGCCATTCAGCTGGGTAATTTTCTCCCCCCTCTTTAAGCCATATGTTATTTTTGGATGAATGGCCCCAAACCCTGCCAGCCCGCTAACACAATGGAAATGCCAGAACACTCTTAATCCTGTAAGAATCCCAGTGATTTTAACTAATCCTTCTGTATGCCAGGCAATGTACCTTCTTCCATAGCATTGCGGTGTCTAAAAAAGAAAACTGTGTATCTCTTTACATTTATCTGAAACTTTTTTCTTTCAGATACCACCTCAACACTTCAGTAAAGAAGCTTTGTGTTTCAAAAAAAAATAAAAAATCTTGTGACCGGTAGACATCAGTGTGAAAGATCTCTTTAAGCATGAAACAGATGATAATGTTGTTGTTGCTGTCTGTTGCTGCTCTTTCATGGTGGTTGCGGGTGTCCATTGATACGTGAAGGACAGACCTTTAGCTGGAGAGGGAGGCACCATACAGATGCTTTTTGGATAAAGTGAAATATTGTATATTGGTTGACTGCTATTTGTGTTCATAACTTGAGTCAATGAGACAGAGTTTTTTTTTATTTTTTTTTAAAGGTCCTTGTATTATTCCAGTCAGATTTTGTTTCCATTGAAAAGTTTTTTTTAACCTCCAGAAATGAACATTACTTTTGAAAAATAAAATAAAAAATACTTTTAAATCATGTTTAAATCAAGTTTGGGATCAGTAAAGTAAGAATATATATATATATATATATATATATATATATATATATATGGCTGCAACACATTCTCAAGTAAGTATATGTCAGTATATGACCTAAGGCGTCATATACTGACACTTTTGCCAATGCGTAGACATCCAACGCACATGGCACCCTTAAGCGTCAATATAACACACTTCGGTTATGTGTACGTTTAGGTCTGTTTTTTTTTACACATTGACAAAAATAGGACGCCTATTAGTATAGGACGCCTATAATATAGGACACCTTGGGATGAGAACGGGCAGATATGGTACCCTTTTATTCAGCAAGGATGCATTAAATTGATCAAAAGTGACAGTAAAGACATTTATAAACTTACAAAATATTTCTCTTTTCAATTAAAAAAAACGGTTTTGATCAATGCTACTGTATTTCTTATCAAATAAATTCAGCCTTGATGAGCATTAAAAACATTTTAAAAATCTTACCATTTTGAATGTGTTCATTAATGATATAATAATATAAGAAAATACTATAAAGAATATTATTTAAAAGCAAATAAAAGCTGTTTTATTTTACATGGAGAAGGTCGCCTCCTGGGGGTTGCCATTTTAAAATCGCATACCTTTATCTCATTAACCCCCATTATTATATATACAATAATGTCTAACTTGTGAATAGCGAATTTCTGAAATGGCATCTGTAACTGAGAACTATTGCATTTGCATAATGCTACATCCATGCCACTTGATATCAGTATAAGAAACATACTGTAGGTGTTCATTTAACTGTAAACATTTTTAGACAAGAACTTCTGAAATCAATTCACTGTTTTCTCACATGATTTCAGACTGGCGCAGCTCTTATCATGCCCTCAAAATGGAGCTTGCGCATTCCTATCCGTCATGCGTTCCATCAAAGGACATCCTTAAAGTAAGTGACCATTTAAAATATTTTCTTGAGCGGACGTCATATCTTGTTCCATCTGGCCTGGTCTAGACATGTTCACTCTCCTCTCTCTCACTGCTCTTCATTGCTTGCCTTTTCTACACTTTGCAGTGCGTGCAACTAAAACTGAAGTAAAAATTTTGAAAAACTATATAGACATAATAACAACATAGACATACTGAACAATAATGACAAAACCATGCAGCAATTTTAAATAAAAAACTTAAAATTAAAATGGGAAATATAAAAGTAAAAGTAAGTGTCACTGATGTTAAAATAGAAATGGTGCATGAGAGATCAAGTGCACTGTTCTTGGAACAAACAGGAAGAGGAAGTGGATGGGGGGTATGGGCGGTTGGGGGGTTGAATAGGTAATAGGTTGAGCAACTTTGTCCTTCCAAACTAATTACCCTGAAAACAAACAGCAGTAAAAGTTGTCCAGTTTTTGCATTTGGCTCAGTATTTGTATTTGAATCTAAACACCGGGCTTTCTTTTTCTTTGCTTATATATATCTAATATGTTTTGTCTTTGGTGTGTCTGATTTGTATGTTCAGGACTTTTGTGCACTGTTGATCATTTTAGGCATTTATTTTTATTTTTTTGCTTAATTTTCACCAGAAGTCGTGCATAGTTTGAGAGACACAAGTCTCCACACCCTTTTCCATCCAAACAAGTCTTTTGCTCTCTCAGTCTTTCTTTTTGTATTTCTATCTCTCCCTCTTTCTCCTCTTCTCTCTTTCTAGGATAAGTATTACAGTTAATCAGATTATCACTCTTTTCTCTGAAAAGACCCAGTAGTCAGGCAGATAAAAGGGCAACCTAGAGTCCCCAGGGGTCCTGACAGACAGGGATCAAAGGAGTAGCTGATTAGCCAAAGCAATGTCGCTTTGATACCAGAAAGAAAGTGAGATAGAAAGAGTGAGCAACGAGACAGACAGACAGAGAGAGAGAGAATTCAGATGGATGACAGTGTTTCATCCCATGTTTCAGCAGATGTCTTGGTTTACCTGCTACAGAGTCATCTCTTTGTCCTCTCTGTGGTAGGTCATACCTGGCTTTTATTCTTTCCTCCAGCAGCAGGAAAAGACACTCTTGATCTTCCTTCTATTCAGTATTCAATTAAAAATGAGTGTGTGTTTGTGGGAATTCCGTACATACGATAGGCTAAGTGTCTATTATGAGCCTCACCCTGTCTCGAGTCTTGTTTAGGCTTTACAGGTCAAAGTTCATCTTGCTCTGATAAACTTCATTCCATTAGTCTGATTGTGACCGACTGGCAAAGCTTGGCAGGAAGCAGTGGATAAAGTCCAGAGTGAGAATGTAATCCTCTCACATACACATTCAACCTTACATAAATCACAAGTTCATGGCAGCGTGCAGGTGATCTTTGTGCCACCCACAGGTTTGAGAAAGTTAGTGCACTGCACTGACTAACTCTGAAACTACTAGACACCCACTCGCCGTCGCCACACCTATACTGAAGCCGTGAAGGACAAAGTCGATTTCTTGAAATGTTTGATGGCATCGTTATTTGCAGAATGTGTGCTTAAAAGTTAAAGGGATAGTTCACTTTGAAATTATTTTTTGGTATGTTTTAGCTTACCTCAAGGGCATCCAAGATGTAGGTTCTTTGTTTCCGCAGTAGTTTAAATTTTGATATTTTTAGGTCAAACCGTACTTGTCTGTGAGTCATATAATGCAGGTCTATGGTCACCACCTCAAAGAGAAGTCCAAATTAAACATGATTTAATGACTCGCGAATGTAAGTACACGTTGATGGCCCCATACATGATACGAGCGGTTTGTGTGAGAAAACGAACCGTATTTGTATAGTTTTTACCTCTTGGAACCACAGCCACGTCCAAGTGATCTGAGGGCGCAGGACGCTTCGGCCCTCGCAAGCGCAGAAAGTGATCTCTCGCCGGTGTATGTCACAAAACGTACGTCACGCAGACCGAAGCGCCGGCCCCCTTAGATCACTTGGACGTGGCTGTGGTTACAAGAGGTAAAAACAATATAAATACTATGGCTGTGTCAAACGATTAATCGCGATTAATCGCATCCAAAATAAAAGTTTGTGTTTACATAATATATGTGGGTGCACTGTGTATAATTATTTTATATATATATATATATATATATATATACACACACATGCTTGTATATATTTAAGACATATTTTCATGTATATACTGTATATATATTTATATTATATATAAATCTAAATATTTTATATATAAATAATATTTTTTTCTTAAATATACATGCATGTGTGTATTTATTTATATATACAAAATAAATATACACAGTGCACCCACGTATATTATGTAAACACAAACTTTTATTTTGGATGCGATTAATCGCGATTAATCGTTTGACGGCTCTAATAAATACTGTTCTTTTTTTCACACAAACTGCTCGTTTTGTGTCTTGGGCCATCAATGTGTACTTACATTTACGGGTCCTTAAATCATGTTTTATTTGGACTTGCATTATATGACTGACAGACAAGAACGGTTTGACCTAAAAATATCAAAATTGAAAATACTGTGGAAACAAAGACACCTACATCCTGGATGCCCTTGAGGTAAGCTAAAACATACCAAAAATTTATTTCAAAGTGAACTGTTCCTTTGACAAATTAACAGTTCACCCAAAAATGTAAGTTCTGTTAAATATTCACCCTCATTTCACTCCAAACCTTGGTGCTGTTGTTGCTGTTTTGTTCAGAGGTTTTTTGAAACTCTTGCCACTTGCTCTTGGTGTATCTGAAATTACATACTTCCCTACTATGTAGTAAGTGAACAACAATGTATGTGACAAAAGAAGTATGTCCAAATGCACATTACTCATTAAACAGTAGGCAAAACGTACCCAAATGACCTACTAACAATGAGATTCTGTATATGATGGACATGGGTAGTTATAGGCCATATGATACTTTGTGAAATTACTTTTTCAAAATAAATACCTACTCATGAGTATGCGATTTCGGATGCAGCCATATAGTGAACCAATGGTCAGGTTTCGAAACATTCTTTTGAACCGAATCTTTTAAATTGGTTCACCATTTGTAATAAAACATATTGTTAAATATATATAAAAAAAATATATATATATATTTTTTTTGTGAATCACTAATTACATTTCACACTGTTTGACTCAAAAAGCCATGATGTTGTATGGCTTGAGGATGCTTGGAAGCACACACCAATGGATTACGTTGAGATGATTTTTTTAAAACATACTGTTTTATAATATATATATATATATATATATATATATATATATATTGTGAATCACAAATTACATTTCGTACTGTTTGACTCAAGCCATGATGTTGAATAGCTTGAGGATGCTTGGAAGCACACACCACAAATGGATTACGTTGAGATGTTTTTTTTGTTTTCTTTTTGGAGCTTAATGTGGTCACTATTAATTGTTGTTGAATAATAAATTGTGTGAGTATTCTTATATAGATTAAAAAAAAGTCAAACTTCTTTGGAACAACATAAAAGTGAGTACATTATATGAGAATTTTCTTTTTTGGTTGAACTTTTTCTTTAAAAATGATTTGACGTAAAATAAACCTTTAAACCCCAAATATACGTTAAATTAAATCAAAGAACACATAAGTGTGACGTCATTTCTAATAATATCTGGCCTAAACAAAGCTGTTTTGGAGGGTTTTTTTTAAAAACCAAGTCTCCCGCACAGTCCTTCCGGAACATTTTGTGGCAGCTTTTATCTTCAAATTGTCCTTGGTCCATGGTGATTAAATGACAAGGAAATCTTTTCAGATGAATTGGTTTAATCAGTCAGCCAAGGTTACATGAGAGTAAAAACATGAATATACTGGAGTGGGGAAATGCAGAAGTGGTGCAAACATATCCACATCTCTATGATCAGATGGTTTCTTAACTGCTACTTTCTTAGTTCGGCACCATTGCACTATATTTCAAACTTCTTGCTGCTTCGTTTTCATTTTTAAATAACAAGCTCATCTGAAATTTCCTGAATTACTGCTGTTGCATTTGTGCACGAACATCCATGTGGCATGCTGAAAAAAGTGTTATAAGCTTTAAATACGAATGTCACATGAACAAACAAGAAAACAGGTCTCATTACATCCGCTTGTCAGACAAAGTGCTGACGTCAGTACGAACGGGAGGCGATATCCATTGACTGTTAAGGTAATAATCAGCTAAGCTAGTTCTTTTTATCGTTGGAGTTTATTCGACGGTGAGAAAAGGAACAAATAACTTTTAGATATCAGTCTGCATACGCTATTGTGGACATCGGTTATACTCATCTATCTCTTTTGAAGGTATCTCGGGGAAAATGGCTCTATATTTCACAAAGACTCGAACCGGAAGCGATGCGACCTGTTTTACAGAGAATGGAAATTTGTTGCGCATAACCCCAATTTACATGTTTATATTTGTGAACTGTACGTTAGACAAAAATCTGTTTTCTGACTCCGTCTGTCTTTTAATTGGGTCTGTGAGGCAAACACTACATGACCACATTGGCTTTGAATGTGTGACCATCTGCCTTCATAGAAACCACAGAAGACATTTGTTTTAGTGATGTCACATGCTTCCACCCATATGCAGACACATAGCTGGCTTTGCTTCTGTGCTATCTGGTAGCGTAGAGATGGAGAGGCGCTGGAAAGTGTTGCTGAGATAGGACCTCTCTCTTGGGCTTTTAAAGTCTGACCTCAGACCATCTCCCTGGAGATAGATACTGAGTGAGATTGAGATACAGTTCAGACTGAAGCACACCTCTTTACACAGTCACATACTTGGCCATCAATGCTGTAATGGAGGGTAAGACATTCAGATAGACTGAGTGCATGTGTGCTCATATGTATATGTGTTTTTGGCCATGCATTTCCCATCAATAGAGCTCAAACATCCTTTAGTCATGCCTTTGAACATGCTACACAAGCTCTTTTGCTTTTGAAGAGAAACTTTTCTTTTAAATAAATTAGTGTTTTTACTGTATTTTTGCAGCCCTATGCTTAAATATGAGGAATGAGTCTAAACAAGTTTCATCATATCTCTCAAAAGCTCACTTGAGATACCATGACCCTTCTCCAACAAGAGCAGCAAAAAAGGTCCTTGTCTCTAGAACTGTTTTCTTCTCTGCATAGGAATCTTATCTGGTGGCCTCTCCTCCTTAATGGTTCCATCTCACTGCAAAGTGAACAGTATTATATGGATGTAATGGGATTTTTATTGCTCTGCATGAATATTTGAATTCAAGAGATCACCTATAAAAAATAAAAGTTCTGTTTTCATTTCACCCTCATGTCGTTCCAAACTGGATGGCTTTCTTTATTCCTTGGACTATAAAAGGAGAAGTCATGAAGAATGTTCATGACCAGGGACTGTCAAGCTCCAAAAGGGATAAAAAGCATACTATAAGTATCCATGCAGCTTTTCTGAGTCTTCTGAAGTCATATAGTTTTGTGTGTGGAACAAGCTGGTGGTCACTATAAGAACAACTTTGACTTTAATTCTGCTTTATATAACTCTTTCATTGTGTTCCATGAAAATTCATACTCATTTCAAATGACATAAAGGTGAGTAAACAATGACAGAGTTTTCATTTTTGGGTGACCTATTGCTTTAAGTGTAGCCAAAACACATACTTAACATGACCAACAGGTTGCTATGTGCCACATACACAGAAACACACATACAAACATCACTGAAAACTTTAATAAGTTGCAGAAGACCTGCATTACATAACACCAAGAGACCCCAAGGAACATAAACCACACACTAAGATGGTTAAACAAACATGTGCACTTACTCAAACACTGACCCTGAAAGCTTTTAGGACATTTTATGAGCACTCTCCCAAGATTACATGCTTATGACACACCCTGTAGAGACATGTTTCCTGAAGGTTTTCAAGAATGGACACTCATGCACACCAAGCAGAGAGTAAACACAACACGATTGTCCTTGAGCGTTTGTTTGTGCCAGCTTTTAAATCCATGACATTTATTGATGTGGTTATTCTTTCATTGGCCTCTTAATAGCATTTGAATCAGACTTTCATTCCTTTAATCTCTTTGTAAGTTTGTTAATATCTCCGTTGTCCACACTTGTCTCGGATGAAAGCTTTATAACAAACTGCTGACTTCATATCCTCTCATAGTACCTCAAATATAAATTATTTTAAATTATGCTGTGGCTGGTATTGATGCACTAACGGTCAAAAGTTTCGAATGAGTGGTGCTCAAGAAACATTTCTTATTATTATCGATGTTGAAAAGAGTTTTTTGCGGATTAAAATTTGTGGAAATTGTAATAACACTATTATTCAAAAGTATGGGTTAAGTAAGGGTTTTGGGTGGGGACATTCAGCAGTGTCATTAAAGTATTTTTAATACTACAAAAGATTTCTATTTCAAATAAATGCTGTTCATTGAACTTTCTAATCATTCAAAGAATCTTGAAATCAGTGCTTTACGCAAAAATATTAAGCATTTTTTTTAATTGATAATACACTCTAATAAATGTTGGGTTGTTTTAACCCAACAAACCCAGCCATTGGGTTACATTTTTAAATTACATTTTTAACCCAAAGGATGGGTTTGTCCATATTTTACCCAAAATTGGGTTAAAACAGCCCAGCAGTTTTTAGATTGTAATAAAAACCATTATTAATAATTGAGCTCCAATATGAACTGAGCACCAAATCAGCATATTAGAATAATTTATGAACACTGGAGTAAGAATGCTGAGTCACAGGAATAAATGATTATATTTTAAAATGTATTCAGATAGAAAACATTTATTTTAAATTGTATAATATTTCGCATTATTACTTTTACTGTATTGTTGATCAAATAAATGGTGCCTTGGTGAGCAGAATAGACTTCTTCCAAAAACATCAATACAGTCCTTCCTGCTGCACAGCAAATTGCAACCAGATTTTAATATTTAATAAAACGAACGTGTGTGGGCGTTTTTGTGTTTTTATGCTTGTTGGTGTTAGGCTTGTAGTTTTGAGTGTGTTGGTATGCGTGTTTGTATGTTTTGTCTTGTACTCTTTTGAGGCCTGCAGTTCTGACCCTTGAACTCTGTCCTTTGTTCCCTCTCTCCAGTGGCAGAATGAAAGCGATCAGTGCGTCTCTCCTGCCGAATACATCCATCTCTCCAACTGTGCCAAAGCGACTGTGTAGATTCGGGTTCTTTTGTGAGATTAACAAAACATTGGTTAGCACACACAGTTCAATGCATCCGAAGCCCTGTGATTCATATACATGAATCATTTTAAAATGATAGGTTTAAAAGCAAAAATATATTTTTTAATTAATGTCATCAACTAATGTTGTTTCAAATCTGTTTGATTTACTTTCTTCCATAAATCATAAAAGTAGGTTTCAAGCTGTTTCATACAGTGAATGTTAAAAACCCTAAAAATCAACAGAAAGTACCAAAGTGCCATAATAGGAGTTCATATGACTCTTGTGCTATATTTAAATTCGTCTGAAGTCATACAATAGCTTTATGTGTGTAGACAAACTTCTTGTTGCTGGTGGATCATAGATGGAAAACCTGTTATGAAGTACATATTTAACAGTAACTGCAGCATGTAGAAATGATCAGCAACTTAAATTTAGGGCTTGTCCTCTGCTGACATTCCATGGTCACCATTCACTGTCATTGTGTAGAAAATATAACATCCTGCTAAACTTCTCTTGCTTTTGTTCCACAAAAGAAAGTCATACACGTTTGGACCAACATGAGGTTGAGTAAATGACGACGACAACATTCTCACATTGGGGTGAACTGTCAATTTCTACCTTGAAAACAAATCAATTTTTTATTTTTATTTTCAAAAGTTTTAATAAATTCACAAGTTAAGCTATGTTACAGTCCCATGTGTACCTAACAAGACCCATTCGATGACCTTTGACCTGAGAGGAGTAACCGTAGCCCAAACATGTCTCCTCCTGTGCCAACAAACCTGGTTCGAGTTACACTTTTAATAGGCAGGTTTAAAGAGGGCAAAGGGAGGTGGAGTGTGGAACAGATCAAAAGTGCTTTCCTAAATGTCCTTTGTCGTGACTTTGCCGTGTTTGATGTCTATGCTGTTGACTCTCTCACTCTTTCCCTACCTCGATTTTTCTCTCTCTCTCTCTCTCTCATTTCAAAGAGATGGAAGAGTCATCTCCCTCCCGCGGTCTGCCAACACACAGACCACCAGGGGAAGTCAGGGAGTAAAAAAAGAAAGAGGAAGAGAAAGATAACTGGAGAGATTGGACAGTCGGGAGCTTTTGAAGAGAAGAAAGACTGAATTCTGCCCCAAGAACAACGAAAATGGACATGGGGTCCCACTGGGGGACGGGACGGAGGGGTATATATGAAATATGAAAGATGAAGTGAGAGATTAGCGTGATAGAAAGCTTTGGTGAACACCAATTAAGAAATGCTTATTTCTTAATACATGCTTTCTTGCTTTCTTGCTTTTTTTCTTTCTAAACTGGCAGGACATTTTTATCTGTTTGCAGTGTGGACTGTGATCCTTTCACCTGGAGCAAAGGCTCATGAACTACATGGTCCAAAGTGTTGAGAAATCTGCATCCTGTTTCGTGGTTGAATGTCTGTTGACTGAATGCATCAGTTAAAGAGACGGTTCACCAACAAATTGTAATTCTGTCATTAATTTCTCATCCCCATGTCGTTCCAAACCCTTTAGACTTAAAGGGATAGTTCCCCCCAAAATTAAAATTCTGTCAATATTTACTCACCATCATGTTCTTCCAACCCCGTAAGACCTTCGTTTATCTTCGGAACACAAATTAAGATATTTTTGATTAAATCTGAGAGCTGGATCACTCCTCCATACTAGTCCATAGGCTTCTAAGGGATTGAAACTTGCCGGCCCCGAAAAGTTATTAAAGACATCGTTAAAATAGTCCAAGTGTCTACAGTGGCTCAATCTTAAGTGTATCAAGCGACGAGAATACATTTTGAGCACAAAAACAAACAAAAATAATGACTTCATTTCAACTATTCATTTCCTTCTCTATGGGCCTCTAGTCAGTTAACATAGTGTGATAGCGTAGAGCTACGTCACACGTAGACTCACTATTGGCCGACGCTGGTCGGCCAAGAAGCTTACGCTGTTACACTAGTGAACTCACTCGAGGCCCACAGAGAAGGAAATGAATAGTTGAAATAAAGTTGTTATTTTTTTTTTTTTGCGCACAAAAAGTATTCTCATCGCTTGATACTTGAACTTAGGATTGAGCCACTGTAGTCACGTGGACTATTTTAACGATGTCCTTAACAACTTACGGGGAACAAGTTTCATTACATGAAGAAGCCTGGAGGAGTGATCCAGCTATCAGATTTCATCAAACATATCTTAATTTGTGTTCTGAAGATGAACGAAGGTCTTATGGGGTTGGAACAACATGAGGGTGAGTAAATACCGACAGAATTTTCATTTTTGGGTGAACTAACCCTTTAAATTCATCTTCGGAACACAAGGAAGATCTTTCTGATGAAATCGGAGAACTTTGTCGCTCCATTGACAGTCTACGGAACTACCCCTTTCAAGACCCAGAAAGGTTCTAAAGACAACATAATAGTAATCCATGTGAATCCAGTGATTTAACCTCAATTTTATTTAGTTTGCAAAAAAAACAAAAAACATAATTTAACACTTTATTTACAAAATATTAATCTCCAGCCTACAGTATGTTGATGCGAGTGATAAATTATGTTTTTGTGTGTCATAAAATTGAGGTTAAACCACTGGATTCACATGGATTACTTTAATGATGTCTTTCTGGGGCTTGATAGGGGTAGTTGCGTAGACTTTCAGTGGAAGGAGTTGTCATCTTTTCATTTTGGGTGAACTAAGCCTAAGGCTTTTTCAGGCCATTTATTGTTAGTTCTTTGCATAGAAGAATGAGAGAAAGGTAAAAGGTTCAGTGGTTTTGACAATATTTAGCAATATTTAGCAAGGCCCATACTGAGTTCTAAACAGATGAGAGAGCATCGGATGAATAGATCAACAGATGGATGAAAAAGTGAAGTGAGTCAGTATATAGCTATGCACTGTCCCTGTGCCCTTTCTGTCCTCTCTGTGCTATTTGGATAAAATCTCTTTTATCTCCGCTGGTGCCAGCCTCTGATGCATAAACACTCCAGACTGGCTCCTTTTGCATTTGATTGTGGGAGAGAAAATGAAAGGAAACACAAACCGCATTAGCGTTGCAGCATCAGTAAGAACATCCCGTGTCCGGCCTGTCGTTCATTTCATTTTACACTTCTTCATTTCTCGTACACAGTTCATTTCCTCCTTGAACTGTACTGAAGTCATCCATGCTCATGTGCATATATAAGAATTTATAGTGTCCTGTTGATTTGCATTTTTTGGTCAAATTATTATTATTTTTCCCCTTTTTATAATAATAATAATAATTATTATTATTAAATTACACTACAGGCTAATGTTATTAGTAAAACTTGTGGGTCCGAGGACATAATTTTTATGGACATTTTCACTGACTCTCAACTACATTGTGAAAAAAACAAACACATCCTGTGTTCCGATAAAAGAAAAAAAAACTTTGCTTGAGAAGAAGATTTACATTTTAATACATATTTTTATATATAATAGATGTCATTACAATAATATTTTTAGAGAACACACTAAAGTTCAGATTTGCTTAATGTTATTGAAAGAAGGCAAAGTTGAATTTTTAGCATCATTACTTCAGTCTTCAGTGTCACATGATCCTTCAGAAATCATTCTAATATGCAGTTATGCTCCTTAATATTTTTGTGGAAACTGATAAAAAATTTTCAGGATTCTGTTATGAATGCAATGGTTTAAAATCAACAGAATTTTTTCGAAATATACATAGTTTTTGACAATGTAAAAAAAAATACTGTCACTTTTGATCAATCAAATGCATTCTTACTCTATGAAAGTATTAATTAAAAAAAAATAAATAAATAAAACTTTACCAAAGGGATCAGAAACATATATGACATTATGAAGGCCCTGTTGGGAAGCTCAGACATTGTAAAGCTGTTTCAGTTTGTCATCACATATATTTAACCAGGAGACAGTTTTAAATGTATGAATATGTCACCTGCCATCACATCAAACCATGTGTTTTTCATTATCATTTCCTCTCCACACACTTGTGTCCTCAAACACATGTATGTGTGTGTATATTGTTAGATGTGTTATCTGCAGCACTGGAATCATGATACAACTTTGAAGAACTTTTCATCTCTTTCGCACACCCCGTCTCTGTCTCACTCGGCAGGGTGGGCTTTAATCTATTTTCACCCCTGGCTTCTTAAGAAAGTAGATCCAATAAGTCAGCTTCCTGCTGCGAGAGTCACTCCTGACTAAACTTTGTGTGTGCGTCCTCTATGGGAATAGTGGTTTTCTTAGACCTTTTCCATCTCTCATTTCAGCTTGATTTAAAGGGATAGTTCACACAAAAATGATACTTCTGTCATCATTTACTCACCGTCATGACCACAAAAGAAGATATTTTGAAGAGTGTTGGTAACATGCTTCCTCCTAAGACATATCAAGAAAAAAAATCATTTTAGTTCTAATGATGATAACATGTGACACATTTATTACATTTTGATCATGCTGCAACAACTCTGTGAAATGAATTTGGAATTGAATATCCTTAATCACAGCCGAACAGAACAATGCACCAAATCATCTCTGCCCACCATCTCATTCCTTCAAACCCAAATGAGAGAGCGGAAGTAGAAAAACAAAAAAAGGTCTTCCTCAGAAGCGGGTATAAAACTCCCTCTGTTCTGCATTAAACGAGTCTCTTTGGAGACTCTCATCCTGTTTCCATCCTGCCGCTCCTAAAACTCATTACCGGCCCCAATCCCCTACCCCCCCCCCACATCCCTATTTCTTTCTTCCCTTGCTCTTCCCACTCACTCTTCCAAACTTAAGCCCTGTTCATACTACGAGTGAGTTGTAGTACGCCAGTGGCTGCGCTGGAGGGCGTTCCCACGACTGGTTGCCTAGTTATGTTTGTGAGTGACATTCACCGATGTTACTCTAGACAACAAATAGGTTTTCTTGCCGCTACAAAAAAACAAAAAAAAACAAAAACATTTTGGAAGGAAAAGTCTACATATAAATGGAATCAGTACATAAAATGCTAAATATTAAAAGTGAACGAGAAACAGTGCTCTTTGCCATTACGGCTATTTAACTACAGCAAACATGCAAATACCGGTCTATCTGGGCTCCCGAAACCCTTCAGGCATGAAGTGAGTGTGGTGAATACCATTGTATGTACACAGAGATATATCGTCGTTTCTGACTGCTAAAATGAGCTTCTCGTGCAACTTGCCTGACTCGAGCGGCAACATTCTAATCTGAAAAATGAAGCCTACCTGGAAGTGCGAAAAACTGTAATACATCGAAAATCCGCTAGGGGCTGGTCCCAAAAGGGAGCAAATGTCCATTGACCCCATGTTAAAATGTCAGTTTTCACAGCATTAATTCTTTTACAGGTTGGTCCCATGGAATTTTATTGTATTTTTCGATAGGTTCTGAGTGCCTGACAACTGTGAGGGGGGTGAATTTTTTGTAAATCATTAGTTTAGATCATATTTAGATATAAAATGTATGACAAATAACTAAGGTCGTGGTTAACTTTGATTGTCAGCTTAATTGACAAACTAGCTTTACGCTATATGCCCTATGTACACAGCTTCGGTTGTCTAGTAGTGTAAACAACTAACTGACACTGTAGGAGTAAGTTCCTTTACGCCATTTTTCCAGTAAGTGACATTCCACTACTGCTTTACGTAGTTAGCACTATTTAGCATCAATGTTTGTGGGCAGTGGCACTGCAACAGTTTGCATTAAATCGTCTCCGATAAGTTAGCGTCCAATAGGGACAGGTGGGATTTTGGGGGGGCTAATACAATGCTAAATCATAAATCAGATGTACCTATGTACAGTAGCATACCGATGTCCAGCAATCGATTTAAATACAGTACATTGTATTTAATTTGTTGTTTAATGAGATCTAATATGGCGTTTTGGGCGTATTATGCCTATGCCTAGTCTGCCAGTCGATCTTGTAACGTCATAGATAGCTGAGACGTCTTGGCTGAAACAGCGCGTCCACTAGTCTCACGCAAATGCAGGTGGTAAGTCTTAAGGCCATTGCACAGAGTACGAAATTTTCTTATGCATTTTTTCGTGTTCGTCAGCCTAAAAATTCGTCACGCACAGAAACCTTGCACACTGAGTCCGATGCGTATTTATTAAACCTTTGCGGGAAAAAACGCAAAAATACAAAATGGATTCGTCAAGCAGTGAGGATGATTTTGTTGTCCTTTCTCTTATTGAAAGAGAAGAAAGAGAAATATCACGTTCATCCAATCCTGAAATTGCGCCGAGAGGAAGCACCTCCTTATCAAGGAGTTGCGAATTTATCCCGGGTG